GCCAGCTGCCGCCCCTACAAATGGGCTGCTCCAAGCACCTGCTTGCTTTGCTGGTGCTGAGAGCTGCCCCTGGCCGCAGGGCCAGACGAAGAAAAGCCCCTCCCAGGCACGCCCCTGGGAGACTGCAGGCAGATCACCACTAGCTGTTGCATGTGGCCTGTTGACTATGTCCTGAGGGGGGGAGTCATGGCCAAGCGCAGGGAACCTGGGCCATGTTGCTGGATGTTATCATTCTTCTCTGCTGGGACTGTCTCTGTTCACAATCCAACGCCTTGCTATCTGGGCACCAGCATATACATCTTTCATCTAAGGATCTTGGTATTCTTTACAGACATGCGTTGCTGCTGTTAAGCCTCCCACCACCCCCACAGTGTTCTTAGAGCCATAGGACAGATGGGTCGAAACTGAGCTGTGCAGAGATTTGCCCAAGGTCCCCCAGTGGCAGAGTTGTGAATAGAAAGGACCCAGAAATCCTGACTCTCAGGCGCCCTTCTCTCATCACTAGACAACGTTACAGTGTTCGCTCCTGTTCCCAGAAGCTGGATTCTCTCATGCAATTGTTTACAGCCATGCAATGTGGCTGTAGAATTACCACGGACCCAGTGGCATTTCACGCCCACATTGCACGACTGTGAATGACTGCACAAGGAGCAGGGGAGCCGTGAATGCGGCCCCCCATTCTTTAGGAAGTGGTTTGATTCAAGGAAAACCCACCAACTCTCCCCCACCCCCGCCCCAGGCTGAACACATCCTCCTGTTCGCGGAGGAATCAACTCCACGGCGTGTTTTACCCAGAGATCTCGCAGCACTGCAGGAGGGCGCAGGAGGATCGTCCCCCCATTTTACAGATGGGGAACCTGAGACACAGCTTTGCCCAGGGTCACACAGTAAGTCACAGAACCATTCTGGCCTCCTTGATGCCCACAAAGCCCCATGCCAGCTGGTGCAACGTGCAGCTGCTAAGATAAGCGCTTTGCTTTTCATACAGCCTGTGCCAACCCCTCTTTGCATCTTTATGCTGGCTCCTTCTCTTGTGCTGCACCCCATTCCAGCTTCCTGTCTTTGTCTTACAGGCCCTTCATAGCTGTGTTGTCCTTCCTTACGTGTCCTCATTTCTTTCCACATCATCCCCTCCGCTCTGCCAGTGACACTTGCTCCTCTGCTCCTCTGCACCCTTTCCTCTCTGCCGCTTGGCACACCCTTCCTGCAGTGCCCACATAGCCTCTGCCCTCTGTGCATTCAGACCTTCCTCAAGTCCCATAGCCACTGGGATGCCTACAAGGAACTAGCCATCAAAGCTTGGGGAGGTGGAGGCAGTGCTGGAGGACTGCATATAATTCTAATATAAATTAAAAACCAACGGAACTGTCAAGCATTGAGTGGTCTCGCCCAGTATTATTTCTTACAGATGGTCAAAAAAATTTCCATTAGAACATTTCTCCCCTTCTCCCCTGAAAATGTTTGTGGACAAAAAATCTGGTTTCATCAACAACAAAAAATCAGATTTTTGTTTTAAAAAAAGCAGCATCAGCACACATTTTTTTCTTCTGGTTTCAGTTGCCATCCCTCCCTCCCCCTCCCCCCCCGCCTCCAAAGTCAGCTTTGGGAGTGGCGGGGGGACAAAAACCCAAATAATTTTGACAAATGTGAAAATAGTTTCATTTACATCACAAATTTTCATGGAGAAAAAAGATTCCCAGAGGGCTGCATTATGTATATTCTGGTAGCACCTAGAATCAGGGCCCAGGAGGAACACGCAATAAGACAGTCCCTGCCCCAAAGAAATCAATCAAAACAGCCGAGACAGACAAAGCATAGGCGGGAAAAGAACTTGCCCAGGGTCACACAGCAGGAAGAGAAGCCAGGTCTCCTGATGCCAGTCCAGAGCACTATTCTGTCTGCCGGGCGACCTTCCCTTTCTTGATTGTACCCTTACCCTTACCCTTTCAAGCTCTTCAGGGCATGGGCCATGCATTCCTTCATGTTTGTACAGCACCGAGCACGCTGTAGACATGACTGTAATACAATTAATAAGAGCTAGGCGTACAGCCCACTTATCCTGTCTACTGGTTCCTCTCTCCTCTGGGCCGTGCTTTCCCACGCTCATCGTCACTCATATGCATCTTTCAATATGGTCTCAGGGCCCTAACTTAGGTCTTGATCCCATCATGCTGGGCACAAAATGTGAATAGAAAGAGCCAGTCTCTGCCCCTAAGAGACAGGGTAGACACAGGCTGGGAGAAAGAATGGATTATCCCCATTTTACGGATGGGGCAAGGATGCCAGGAGTAGCTGTAAGCACACATTGAAGCCAAGGAGATTACTCCCATGTTTCAAGTGATGCCCGTGTGTAAATGGTTTGCTGAACTGAAGCCGGACATTCAGCCTCATTCAGTTCCCAGTGAGCACCACAATAAGAGGCCAATTTTTCCTAAGAGGCATCAAATCTGTCCCCAAGTGTCCCAGTAGAAACTTTGGGAAATCCAGCTCTGATTTCAGAGCTGAGCTCTGGAAAATCCAGCCGCAGATGCCAATCTGGCCCAAAGGGCTTACATGCACCAGAAAGTACAAACTCCAACTAATGTGGCCACAATTAGACTGGTATACAGGTGAGCGATTCCTGTATGAATCACACTGGTATAAGGCCCCTTATATGGGTAAAACTGGGTCCACCCCAGGGGCTTTTACCAGTCTTATTATTGCTGTAACCCACCTCTGACATTGTTATAGCAGTAAAACTTTGTGAGCCAACGAGGCCAGAATGACTTGCCCAGGGTTACACAGGCAGTGTGTATCAGATCCAAGAATCAAAGACAGATCTCCTGAGTCCTAGTCATAGAATCATAGAATCATAGAATATCAGGGTTGGAAGGGACCTCAAGAGGTTATCTAGTCCAACCCCCTACTCAAAGCAGGACCAATTCCCAGCTAAATCATCCCAGCCAGGGCTTTGTCAAGCCGGGCCTTAAAAACCTCCAAGGAAGGAGACTCCACCACCTCCCTAGGTAACGCATTCCAGTGCTTCACCACCCTCCTAGTGAAATAGTGTTTCCTGATATCCAACCTGGACCTCCCCCACTGCAACTTGAGACCATTGCTCCTTGTTCTGTCATCTGCCAACAACACTGAGAACAACCAAGCTCCATCCTCTTTGGAACCCCCCTTCAGGTAGTTGAAGGCTGCTATCAAATCCCCCCTCATTCTTCTTTTTTGCAGACTAAACAATCCCAGTTCCCTCAGCCTCTCCTCATAAGTCATGTGCTCCAGACCCCTAATCATTTTTGTTGCCCTCCGCTGGACTCTTTCCAATTTTTCCACATACTTCTTGTCGTGTGGGGCCCAAAACTGGACACAGTATTCCAGATGAGGCCTCACCAATGTCGAATAAAGGGGAACGATCACGTTCCTCGATCTGCTGGCAATGCCCCTACTTATACAGCCCAAAAATGCCGTTAGCCTTCTTGGCAACAAGAGCACACTGTTGACTCATATCCAGCTTCTCGTCCACTGTGACCCCTAGGTCCTTTTCAGCAGAACTGCTACCTAGCCATTCGGTCCCTAGTCTGTAGCAGTGCATGGGATTCTTCCGTCCTAAGTGCAGGACTCTGCACTTGTCCTTGTTGAACCTCATCAGATTTCTTTTGGCCCAATCCTCTAATTTGTCTAGGTCCCTCTGTATCCGATACCTATCCTCTAGTGTATCTACCACGCCTCCTAGTTTAGTGTCATCTGCAAACTTGCTGAGAGTGCAGTCCACACCATCCTCCAGATCATTAATAAAGATATTAAACAATATCCCTGTCACACACACATCCTACCTATCTCACACACACAGCCCGTCTCGCTCTCTCACACACACAGACAGAGTCCATCTCTCTCTCGCACATACAACCCGTCTCACACACACACACATACACACCACGCATCACTCCACACACACAGCCCATCTTTCTCTCTCTCTCTCTCTCTCACACACACACACACACATACACAGCCCGTCTCTCTCTCGCTCACCCATACACCACCCATCACTCACACTCACACACAGCCCATGTAAATCATATACACACAAACCCCGCCCCGTCACACACACACCCAGCCGGTCCCTCTCTCACACACACACGCTTGCTCCCCCCGCGCTCTCTCCCCGGGCCGGCTCCCCGCTCTGGGCTCGGCCCGGCTCGGCACCGCCCCCTGCTGTCCCGGCCGCGGCCGGCGGTGGGCGGTGCTGGAGGCGGGCTGTTCCCTAGCCAGCCCGGCGCTAGCGGCCAGTCGGCCGAGGGAGCGCTGGGGTGCGGAGTTGCCGAGCCGTGCCGTGCCGCCTGGGCCCGCGGGACGATGCGTTGACGGACAGCTTGCGCCGGGATCGCGGCTGTGCAGCCGGCGGGGCCCTGCTGGGGCCTCCCGAGGAAGATGAACTACCTGGTAAGTGCCTGGGCCGGCCGGAGCCCCCCGCTTTGCAGCCGGGGGGAGCAGACCGGAGCCCGGCTGGAGCTGGCTCTGGGGTCAGTGGCGGGGGGTGCCTGGAGTGGGGAGCTGGGCCCCTCTGCCCGCCCGCCGGGCCCATCCCCGCCGCCTCCCGGCGCCACCAGAGCGTCCGCGGCGGCCCGAGGGGTGTCGTTCCCGGGGGCGCTCCACGGAGCCGGGCGGCTGGAGCTCGGTCCGGGAACGCCGCCCGGCGGTGGCGGATTCCCAGCCCCCTCCCGCCCCAGGGAGCCGGACCCAGCTGGCAGGGACGTGCCCGGGCCTGGGAGTTGCCGGGCGCCGCCCCCTGCGCCCCCAGCGGAGACAATGCGGAGCCCTCCCGGCGCTGGGAAGCCCGAGGCCGCGGCGAGTTTCCTGCTCCCGGCTCGCCCGCTGGCCGGGGTCCCCAGGCTGTGTCCGGGGAGCCGAGCGCCCCGTGCCCGCGGGGCCGGCCGGGCTGTGCCGCCGGGGTTAGGCGCATGTCCCCAGCCCGCTGCGATCCGGGACCTTCCCGGGCTCTGCCGGCCCGGGATCATGCCCCTCTCGACGTGGCACAAACCGTTCCGCGTGGCTCCTGGGGATCCTGATCTGGCCCCGGGCCGCGCCCCTGGTGAAGCCAGGGACCAGGGCGGGCGCCTGGGTGGCAGCCATCTATAGCTGGTACTAGCCCGGGCGTGCGGGTGGCTGGGTTTTTCTCGGGAGCTCTGAGGGGCAGGGCTACGGTGTAGTTGTCACAGCTACGGACAGTGGCTGGTTTCTGTGCCCGGGTCAGGATCTGACCCAGCAGTCCCGGGGGGATGGGGGACAGTGTTTCCAAGGTGTGGAGCAGTGCCTTTGTCCTTTGAAGGAGATCTGAAACAGAAACCAGTGGCTAAATCCCCTGGGTCAGGCTGTTGAGCGCCCTGTGGCTGCTCACAGACCCCCCTGTAACGAGTTTGTTGGGTCTTAGGCCAGTTCCTGGAGGGCCGGGCATGGCCTGCTATAGAGCCCACCAGCGCTCTTGGCGTTCCCTTTGCTGGCAGGAGAGGCCGCGGCGGTGAGCTCCTCTCCGCCCAGTGTCAGGGCAGGCGCGCTGGAGTTACCTGTTGCTCTGCGCTAGGATCCTCTGAGCTGGCTACCGTGGCAGCAGTGGGTGCAGGCTTGCCTGGCGCTGCCCCTGCCCTAGGGGTGTGCTGGGAAGGGAAGCCCCAGGGCTATCTGCACAACATTGCAGTTCCCTTCTGTGGATGTGGGTTTAGAGCCTGAGTGCCTGTCGCAGGGGAAGGTGACCTGGCTGTGACATGGGCGATTAGTTGGGCTAAGCTGGGAGGCTAGAGGGCTTATTTCCCACATAGGATCCGCTCCCCCAGCAGCAGCATGGATCATTGCCCTGCCCCAGGCTAACATTGGCACCTAGCACCTGCCAGCCCAGGATCTCAAAGCTCTTAACGAGGTGATGGCCGCCATCTTGGCTGACAGGTCAGGGCTCGATCTGGTCACCTCCAGGGCTAACTGCATGAGGTAGCCCATGGCACGTGTTCGCCTGTGACACTCGGTACCTTCGTCTCCCCCATAGGGAGGGTCAGGGTTGGCATCCCTGGTTTACAGATTGGGAACTGGGGCTCTGAGAGGAAGTGATCTGCCCGGAGGTTGTGCAGCACACCCGGCTGAGTGCCTTACTTCCAGGCCCTGCTCCCTCCCTGACTCGGCCCCATCTGGGATGGCACAAGACTCTAAGCAGGGGGCATTGCTCCCTCCTCCCACCCTGCTGGCATGGTCCTGAGTCACCCTTCAAACTCTGCCCCCCCCTTTTCTCTCTGCCCCCGAGGAGCCATTGATGCCCTCCGCACCACTGTCAGCACCCTGTCATTGGGCTGCGAGTGCCCTCTGGTGCTCAGCACCACCCCATAATCAGCCAGGAGTGGGCGCCACGAGGCACTCCCAGCCCCTTCTGTTGCTGGCCAGGAGCAAGGGCCCAGGCCCAGCAGCACCCAGACCCTCACAGGGCCACCCAGGCTGGCTCCCCTCAGGGACCGAGCAGGCGGGCCAAGAACCAGGCAAGCTGAGCTGGGAGTCTGGGCTCTAGAAGCATTTTACCATCTAAAACTGGGTGTAGCGGTGGCCTGGGACTGTCAAGGAGGCGTGCTGGATTTCCCCCTCCCCAGGCGGGGTTTGCCATTGGTAACTGAAGGAGGAGGGAGGGAGCTGCTCCTGGGAGGAGGCTACATGGTGCCATGAGGCTGGCTGGGGGTGAATAACTGGCATGGCTGGTGGTTAGTGTGCGAGCGTAAGTGCCCTGGGGCTGGCCCCAGAGCATGTTGTTAATGATTCACCCAGCGATAATCAGCAATCTCCAGGTCTGGCTAATCCGGCTGTGTGAGTACAGTACAGGGCCGGGGGAGGGGAGCGACTCCTTTCATGTCAGATTACAGCATAGTGGCAGTGCTGGGTGGGGCAGCCAGAGCAGGGACCCCCGGCGTGAAGGCAAGCTGTAAGCACGCCCCATGCGGCGCTAGCAACCCAAGAGAGGAGATGTGCCCCTGCGTCTCCCCTGGTATTCAGGCAGCACACCCCTTGGGGCAGCGCCTGGACCTCTGGCTGGTGCTGAGCCATGCAAACCCACATGGGTCAGGGCTCCTGAGGGGGCTCTTCCCCCAGGGCGGTGGGTGGTATTTACGCTCCCTTGTCAATCGCGCTCTTGTGACAGTGCACGCTGGGGGATCTCACCCATTCTGCGCTCTGGGAGTTCGTGGCTAATACACTGGCTGGTCCCCTTGCTCTATTTAGCAGTTCTCTGTTTAATCCTTTCACACCCAGATTTGCCCAAGATTTGCTTGAGCAAGAAGGATCAAACGAGTAGCACCTAGTGAGTGGAAAGGTGGGGTGGGCTGGTGGAGGGGGTGGGAGCCTGGGTCTGCTCCTGGCTCTGCCAGCGGCCTTGGGTGGCTATGTGCCCTCTCTGGGCCCGTTTCTCCTCCCATGTTTTGCCTTGTTCAGATTGCAGGCTCTGTGGGGCCGGGACTGTCTGTCACCAGGGGTACGCCCAGCGCGACCGAGCCCCGAATGCGATTGTTACTGTAATACACACCAATAATGAAGGGGGAGTTTGGGGCCTGTTGAGTTGATGGTGGCGGTCCCCCAAATGGCATCCATTCTCCTACCTTGGCAGAGGGCACGTGTTGGCTGCTTAGAACATAAGAGCTGCCAGACTGGGGAAGACCAATGGCCCACCTAGCTCAGTTTCCTGTCGTCTGACAGTGGACAGTGCCAGGTGCTTCAGAGGGCATGAACAGAACAGGGCCATTGAGTGATCTGTTGTCCAGTCCCACCATCTGGTAGTCGGAGATTTAGGCACACCCAGAGCATGGGGTACAGTACAGGGGATGGGAGGGACTCCTTTCATGTCAGATGACCATCTTGGCTAAAAGCCATTGCTGGACGCATCCTCCGTGCTGTACTAGCCCGCTCCAGCTGCCGGCAGCCGCGTGTGAAGTGAGCCTGTAAAAGCAGGTGGCGTGTGGGGTAGTTCCAGGAACAGGACATGGCGAGTGTGCGAAGCTGAGCTTATCTGTCTCTTTACCTTTCGCTTTCTGGGAAAGTGTTGCTCCCAGGACCTGGCTCTCCTGGCTGCCCTAAGGGAGGGTGAGGCGATGCTGGGCGTGGGGCTGAAGCACAGCGCAGGCTGGGGAGGGACCTGCCGTTTATATGCCCCCAGGGTCCAGCTGCTGCACAAGAGCCTAAAATTGCTGGCGTGGGGCCCTGGGCAGGTCCTGACTGGTGGCTGAACAGCACCGGCTTGGTTGCATTGGTTCCCCTGCGCAGCTCCTGGTGGGGCTTGCTTCCAATCCCTGGGCAGGGTTCATGGCAGACCCCTCCGAGAAGGCAATCAGTGTGGCTAGTCTTCACCAGATGGCCGGAGAGAGCCAGTCTTGGTGAGGAAGAACAGCACGGTGGCTTAGGGCCCCAGACAGGGACTTGGAAGACCCGGGTTGAAATCCCTACTCTGCTACAGACTACCTGGATGACCCTGGTCAAGTCACTTAGCTGCTCTGTGCCTCAGTTTCCCCATCTGGACAATGAGAGTAATGGCATGGCCCTGCCTTCCAGGGCTTTGGGAGATTAAATATGGGCTTGGGTGCTGTGGTAGTAGGGACCAGATAAATACCATAGATAAGTGAGCACTTGAGGGTTTATGTGCTGTGTTGGACCCTCACCCGGTCGCTTACCAGAGGTGGTGGAGCACAGCTGAGCTGAGGCCATCGCGGGGTACTTTGGGCCAGTCTCATAAGGCAGGAGGTCACCTGATGAGGGCAGGCTCTGTTGTGGTCTGGGGGGGAGGGGCAATGGCTGAAGGGCAGGTGTGGGGAGGCGGAGCTCAGTGTCTGCCATGGTGCGGGATGGGACACCCAGGCTAGTGCGAGATGGGCCTTAATGGACCCAGTGCTGGGGGCAGAGGGTGAAGAGACCCAGATACCAAGGCCTGAGAGCTGGAGAGGTGAATGAGGCTTGCACTGCCATGGAGCAAGGGGCAGAGCAGCTCCTGGGACTGCTCCATCCTCAGGGGCAGGGCGAGGGAGAGGAGGAGGAGGCAGCCCACTCAGCTCACAAGCCTCTTTGTGCAAGACCTCCACTGCAGCCTCCTTGTATGTGCTGCTTCTGCACTGACAAGCCCCAGCTGGATGGCAACATGCCTAGTTCTGGGGGGAGCACTGTGCCCCATGCATACAGCAGTTGGCTAGGGTGCCTGGAGGCTGCCCGCTCCCATCCCCAAGAGGAACATATGCTGATGGCGAGCAGACTCCAGGCCGGGTTGCCTCAGCCCTGGAGGGGGAAGGGGGGAGCAGCCTTTCCTAAACAAGTGTCCCGCCCTAGGGCAGCGGTGTCTGAACAAAGCCCAGGGCTCCTGGAGGGTTCAGCTCCAGGCGGTGAATGTGGCTGTGGGTGTGAGCAATGGGTGATCAGGGCTGTGTGCGGCAGCTGGA